ATAGCAAGCAATGCTGGTTGTGTTTCACATTTTAAAGGAGGGGCTGTGGTTTTCGGGTGGATGTGCAGCACACACCTCCCCCCATCCCACCGTATGGCTATTCTCTGGGATGATCCCTTCACCCCTCCCCCGACTGTGTGGTTATTCTCAGGGATGATCCCTTTTAGCCAAGCACAAACAGCCCAGCATGAATGGGGTCCTTTTACTATTCCCTTACAAAAATTCCCCTATTTCAACCAGGTGACAATGAATGATATCACTCTCCTGAGGCTGACCAGAAAGATAAAGACCGAATGTTGCTTGAATGCGACCAAAACTCCGGACCATTTGCTGCTATGCTTTGTGCTGCAATGATTTCAGACTACTTGCTACTGGCTTGGCGTGGTAAAGTGTCCTACCATGGAGGACGAAATAAGGCAGCCCTCCTCAGAAATCTTCTGCAAAGACTTTCAGATAGGGTGATCAGACAGCAAATGTGAAAAATCAGGACGGGGTGGGGGGTAATAGGAACCTATATAAGAAAAAGACCCAAAAATCGGGACTGTCCCTATAAAATCGGGACATCTGGTCACCCTACTTTCAGAGTACCTCCAGGAGAGCTTCATGGAGTCTCTGTAGGATTCCCGCTCCATCCCCAGACACGTTAACAGACTTTTCCAGTAGCTGTATTGGCCGCAAATGCATCCCAATTCTTCAGGGCAAATCAAAGATTAAATACTATTGCTTTTAAACCCTGTAGTGTAGTTACAAATGTGCACTCACCAGAGGTGCCTTCTCCAGCTTCAGGGTCGGAGATCCCGCCTTGGGAGGGTATTGGCTCCAGGGTGATGAAAAAGTCCTGGCTGCCAGGGAGAACGGATTCACCGGTTGCCTGCTGCGCATTCTCCTCCTCCTCCTCTTCCTCATCCACAAAATCCTCCTCCCTGTTGTGTGAGGCTCACCCCCTTGCAGGTATCCACGGACAGTGGTGGGGTAGTGGTAGGGTCCCCCCCCCAGAATGCCATGCAGCTGATCATAGAAGCAGCATGTATGGGGCTCTGACCCGGAGTGACTATTTGGCTCCTTTATCTTTTGGTAGGCTTGCCTGAGCTCCTTGACTTTCACGCAGCACTGCCTCTCTCCACCATGCCCTGTGCGATTTTGGCATATATATTAGCATTTCTTCTTTTTGATCAGAGTTTGGCCTGTACAGATTCTTCTCCCCATACTGCACTCAGATCCAGTGTCTCCCTTTCGGTCCATGCAGGAGCTTGTTTGCGATTCTGGGGGGACAGCATGGTCGCCTGTGCTGCTAAGCTCGCCATGCTAACCAAACAGGAAATGAAATTCAAAATTTCCTGGGGCTTTTCCTGTGTACCTGGCTAGTGCATTGGAGTTCAAAGTGCTGTCCAGAGCGGTCACATTGGAGCACTCTGGGATAGCTCCCGGAGGCCAATACTGTCAAATTGTATCTTCACTACCCCAAATTCGACCAAGCAAGGTCAATTTTAGCACTACTCCCCTCGCTGGGGAGGAGTACAGAAGTCAATTTTAAGAGCCCTTTAGGTTGACGGAACGGGGTTGGTTGTGTAGATGCATTCATTTTAAAATTGACCTAACGCGTAGTGTAGACCAGGGCTCAGTGTGACAGGCCAACAGACTGTAGAGACAATGATTCAAGATAAAAGGTTGAAGTGGTTTGGGCATGTTGTACAGATGTCAAAACATATTCCTAGACAAGCCCTTGACTGGATCCCACTTGGTGGAAGATAGAAAAGAGGAGGAGAACAGATGACATATTAAAATCCATTGAGAAAGATATTGCTGTCATGGAACCAGACTACAATGGAGCAAGAAACATGGCAGTAGACAGACAGAGGTGGAAACACTGGGTTGTCTCATGTCACGAGGCACGAGAGCATCTAATGTGTTTCCCGGTGTGGGGGCAGGCTGCTCATCTAATCCAGGGTGCACAGAGGGGAGGAAGCTGCATGATCTTGTGTCTTCAGATAATGCAGGTGGTGACTCCTTGGAAGCCACCCATTTTCCCTCCCTCCTCCCAGGACAGCTTGATGGTGCTGGCTAAGGGAGTTTATATGCAGGGCTGCAGGCTCAGGCATCAGCCCCCTGGCCTAAGCTCTGGTCTTGCAGACCCAGTGACAGCACAGTTTGGGATGCATCAGAGTTCTCATTCTGACAAGTGACTGCAACTGTCATACTGTATTTCACAAGCTCACGCAAACTTATTAAAAATCTACAAGAGTTTGACCCATGGTCTTACAGTCTAGAAGCATAAAATGTTGGCAGCATCACTTTATATCACCTGCTCCTGGTGAACACGGGAAGTGACTAGAGCTGGTTGGGAACTTCTTGACTAAACTTTTTTTGTCAGAAAATGCCAGTTTGTCAAAACTGAAACTTTTTGTGGACATATTACCAGTTTTGATTAATGTTCCCTTGGGAAGGTTCCTCAGGACCAAGATGGAGTTTCTGCTCAAAGTGGAAAGAAAGGGAGTGTGCACACCTCCGACTAGCCAGCTGGTTAGGGCCCTCACCTGTGAGCTTCACCTCCCAGCTCTTCAGGAGCAAGGATTTAAAGTCCCCGTCCCAGATGAGGGCCCTAGCCAGCTGGCTGCAGTCTCTCTCTCTTTCTGGCCCAGTGAATGTTTAATAATTTACCCAGAATGAAAAAGCTCCAGCAGGAGTGATTAAGAGAAATTCTACATCCTGGTGGGTAGGACACTCCCCCAGGATGTAGGGAGACTCCACTTACAGTTCCTCCTCCATCTCCAGCAGAGCAAGGACTTGACTCCGGGTCTCCCATATCCCATGTGAGCACCCTGGACTCCTCTGGCTCTCATCTTTGGCAGAAAATAACATTGCTCTGAAAGGTCTCTGTTTCGTTCCAATGTGGAATGAAAACAAATTTCAAACCCTCAACATTTTTCATGAAGTTTAATCCTCGTTTTCCAGCCAGCTCTATAAGTGAGTGGGATATATGATAACAATGAAAGATTTCAACTAGCAATAATCACACCTCAGATTAACCTCATTGGCTGTGATACTACCACTGTATTACTTTGCACATGACAGCAATCATGTCAGATATAGCAATTTCATTTGCAGACATGGTTAGCATAGTTTAAAAATCTCATGCTTTTCCTTTATTCATGTAGGTCTGCAGGACACAATGAATACTGATCCCAATACTCAGTTTGCTAAGAGTCACATCCTCCTTTGCAGAGATCTGCTTCAACTAGCCCAGCATTCATTAAAATTAAGAAACTAAAAACTCCATTGGCAGCATAAGGAATGTAAAGATATGGATGTTTTTTACTGATGATGAATTAAAAATTAATATGTGTTTTAATACAGCCAAATGCAAGATGATACATCTAGGGACAAAGTATGTAGATCACACCTACAAGATAGGGGACGGTATCCTGGAAAGTAGCGACTCTGAAGAGGATGTAGAGAGAATGGTGGAAATCGACTGACCATGAGCTCCCAGTGTGATGGCCTAACAGGGTGAACATGATTTGTGAATGTATAAACGGGAATAGCAAAGAAGAGTAGGAAGGTAGTATTACTTGGGTATAATGCATTAGTGAGACCATTACCTGAATACTGTGTCCAGTTCTAGTGTTCACACTTCAGAAAGAAGGTGGAAAAATGGCAAAGGATTCGGAGCAGAGCTCCAGAGGGTTCAAGGTCTGGAGAACCTGCCTTACAGCAATTGCTCTGGAGCCTCTTCTGGAACCCGGATGTGTTACCATTCCGGGAATGCTGCATCCTCCTCCTCTCTTTCTCCTCTAAGGCTGCTGAGGCGCACGTGTGCTGAGGTGAAATATTCCTGGGCAGTCCTCTCTATATTTGGGGATTTTAGTTCTTGGGGTAGATACCCAGAGCATTGGCTGGTGCCTATAGTTGTATTTTAAAAATGTGAAGGAATTAATAAAATAAACACCCTCCACACATCAACCTTTCTAGGCAGAGTTATTGCTGTTGGATGACTGTGAAAGTGTGGGGGATTAACAGGGAAGTGCTGGATACCTTGGGGAATGGGTGTATAAATGTGTAGAAATTATAATGTGCAGAGATGAATATATTGGTTGGCTTTGCAGGGTGTTGGCCCCAGGCACCGCACCCCACCCCACCCACAGAGGGACTCTACAGTCATCCTGCTTCATTTTCCAGTTTAGCTCTCCATTAAACCCATACACACCTAGGAGTTATAAAATACCACTCCCCCTCTTCTGGCCTGACTTACCGAGCCATTACAAAGTAAATGCATGAGGGAGACTTAGGCAATGCAACTCTCTATGGGCACCTCACTGTCCTCTGCACCTTTGAAAACGCTACTTGACTGTAAATTTATCTGCATTTGAGGGCTGAGATGTCTGTGCTGATTGGGAAGCAGACTGAACTGTCTGCCAACAACATTGTTTTGTTTGGGATATTAAAAAAAACAAAAGGAGCGAGCAACTAGACAGAGAAAAGGAGAGAGAACAGCTACCCATGCAGGCATGGGGCTTGAAGGGATGAAGAGGACACCAGCCACTGCTTAGTTAGAGCTCTGGCAGCAAAAGTTTGGGAATTGCTAATCTAGAACAGCAGGTCCCAAAGAGCAGGGTGTGCCTCTCGAGGAGTTGCGGGTGCAGGGGAAGCACAGAACAGCAGCAGTTCAAGTCCCCCTTGCTGTTCTGCTAACACAGAGGCGTTGAAGAGGTTGGGGTAGTCTTAGCTTTCACAAAAGTTTGGGACATGTTGTTCTAGAGAGTGAGGGTTATTGTAATCAATGCACCTTTGCTCATGCTGGAGATAATGATAGCCTGGTTCTGCCAAAATCAGGACACTTGCGTGATGCAACTCAAGCATTTTAGGCCTTGAGCCAATAACTTTCTGTAAAATATCTGTCTGATGAAAATCTACTAATGACTCAACAGTGTGTTGAGAGCTGACTGCACCCACCTGTTTTCCTTTAAAGGGATGATTGGTTGTTACATTCCCATACAGTAATATCTCCCGTCTCACTGCAGGTGATTGTGTGATCTGACGCAGCTCATGCTGTTTTCTGTTCCATCTAGGATGGTGCTGTCTCTAGATAAATGGTTTTGGTGGCACGAATACTGGTTCCCACCAGGATTCACCTGGGAGGACATAAAGGAATCTGGGAGTATCTCATACCCCAAACCTCGAGATCTCCTGCACATCGTGCCCTATGCCCTGCTCTTAGTTGGTGTCCGATACCTCTTTCAAAGGTAAGCCAGTTTTTTTCCCATTGCACTTTCTTGATTCATCTAGCATTTTACTGCTAGCTTTTCTTCAGGACACTCCTTTTCCACTGCTCGGTGGTGATTGCATGGCAGAATTGAGTCCTCAGTAGTTTATATTAAGCTAAAGTGAGTCAGACAACCCTAGTGTTCGAAGCTGTTTACAGTCAGCATAGAAACTGAACAGCAAAGTCCATTGTGCATATGCACCTCAATGCTCTAAAGCAGGGATTCTCAAACTTCATTGCACCGTGACCTCCTTCTGACAACAAAAACTACTACACTCATCCCCCCTGATTGAACTAACCTCATTATCTCTAGCCTGACTCACTTTTGCTTGCATATTTATACCTGCCTCTGGAAATTTCCACTACATGCATCCGACGAAGCGGGTATTCACCCACGAAAGCTCATGCTCCAATACATCTGTTAGTCTATAAGGTGCCACAGGACTCCTTGCTGCTTTTACAGATCCAGACTAACATGGCTCCCCCTCTGATACTTGACAATTTATTAATGATACTTGTAGCCAGTCTTTGCCACAATATTCACAATTTGCCCTTATTCAAAATGGCCACAATTTCCCATAACTTACAATAGGATTGAAGCCATCTAATGAGATTGAAAGTATTTATGCCCTCAGGGAAGATGGCTCCTATTTCACCAAGGCCTGGGCATGTGCCAGTAAGGTTGCCCCTGGTAGAAAGGCCTACATCTCCCATTGTTTCCTTTCAGGCTCAAGTCAGGATGCCTCAGGAGAGATGGCCATTTTCTCTTTGTGGTGGTTACAAAGCTGAACTTGTGACAAGCCCCAGCTCAGCCACTGGGGGTGGCTGCCAGAGCTCCTGGGGGAGAGATGTAATGTCCTCTGCCAAAGTTGGATTCTCTCCTCGGGGTGTAGCTTCAGAAGATTGAGTCTGAAGGTGGGAATTTGTACTCACCTCCCCCCAGATATTTCCTAGGAAATCCAGTTAATTTTGTTTGTCCCAACAGTTTTTTTTTCTTGTGTGGCATATTGTTTAAAATAGTCCTTTGAAATTCAAAACACTACACAGGGTTTACATTGGCCAGGGCTTGGTATACAGAGACCTCAGGCTGCTTAATGCCATGGCAAATACACCATTAAAATCCTTTTAATCTTTTATTAAGGGTAAAGAAAAGCAGGGAAAACAAGTTAAAGCATTTGAAATGTAAAGTATTATATCAAGCTTTCATTTTAAAAACATCCCTTGTTCCCTCTCCCTTTAGCTGGAGAGTCTTTAGAAGGGGGAAAAATCCCCATCAGACAGTCTCTTAGTTGGTATCACAGATGGTGAGAACTGTCCTTTGGGAGAAAGAAGAAGTGAGCCGAGACGGGCTGGAACTGTTGTTGTTGCTGCTGTTGTTAGAGTCTGATCCCAGGTGATGGTTGGGATTCAGCTGGAGCCGCTGCAGGTGGTGGTGTCATCTGGGTCCCTCTCTCTGGCCCGACCAGGTCAGGACAGCTCTGAGGATTAGGACAAAGAAGCTCCGGGGTCGCAGGAGATGATGGGGGTGGCAGCGATGATGATGGGCCTGTCAGTGAAGCTCTCTCCAATAGACAACAATTTTTCTCCCAAAGTCTTTTTCTTTAAGGACCCACAAAAGGACCCCCACATTATTTTGTCCACCAGTTAGGCCTAGTTTCCGGCACACTAGTTTTGGATCACTGATTTCTGGTTCCACGTTGTTCTTGCTTGCCAGGCATGATCTTAATATAGTCCTTGAATTATATCAGTAGGCTTTTTTGGTTGGACTAGTTCAGTCTTTCTTCCTTTCGTACCTTTCAACATCACCATTTGTTAGTATAGGTTATTGTGACATATTGTGAACTTTCACATACTTTGTAAAGTTGGGCTCACAATTATAGTAAATGTGTAGGTCTAATTGTCACAACAGAACACAGCTGCTACTGGTGTCCCATAGGTTCCCAGACCTATATGGCACTAGGCTGTGTACTTCAATGGTGGCAGCCAAACTCATCGCAGAGTGGTGTGGGAAAGTATCCTGCTGCAGAGGAAGATACAAGGCAGCCATCCCTTGAAACCTTTGGGCGTGGATTGCAGATACTCTATGAAAGTTTCATCACAATCTCTCAGGAGGATACAAGGTGCACAGGCTGAGGATCTCTCGAGATGTCTAGATAGACTTATGTGTAGTGCTGGGGAGGAGCCGGTGGTCGTGGTACATGTAGGTACCAATGACACAGGGAAGGGTAGGAGAGATGTCCTGGAGGCCAAATTTAGGCTGCTAGAAAAGAGACTGAAATCCAGGACCTCTATGGTGGCATTCTCAGAAATGTTTCCAGTTCCACGTGCAGGACCAGGTAGGCAGGCAGAGCTTCAGAATCTCAATGCGTGGATGGGACAATGGTGTAGAGAGGAGGGGTTTAGATTTATTAGGAACTGGGGAAACTTTTGGGGTAGGGAGAGCCTATACAGGAAGGATGGGTTCCACCTAAACCAAAGTGGATCCAGACAGCTGGCACTTAACATGAAAAAGGTTGCAGAGCAGTTTTTAAACGAAGAGATGGGGGAAAGCCGATTGCTGCAGAGGAGCACGTGGATCAGACAGAGACTTCTCTTAGAGGAGAGTCTATTGATAGATTTCAGAGTGTTAGTCGTGTTAGTCTGTATCAGCAAAAAGAACGAGGAGTACTTGTGTCACCTTAGAGACTACAAATTTATTATGCCCAAATAAATGTGTTAGTCTCTAAGGTGCCACAAGTACTCCTCGTTCTTTTTTCTATTGATAGAGATTCTCTAGGTTCTAGTCAGGAGGAGAGGATGGAAGAGGATAATGTAAGGGCCAGATCAGACGAGAAACATTCACATAAAAAGAATCTGACACATCAGAAAAGGACAGACAAATAAACTGACAAGTTTTTAAAGTGCTTGTACATAAATGCTAGAAGTCTAAATAATAAGCCGGGTGAACTAGAGTGCCTCGTGTTAAAGGAGGATATTGATATAATAGGCATCACAGAAACCTGGTGGAGTGAGGACAATCAAGGGGACACAATCATTCGGGGGTACAAAATATATCGGAAGGACAGAACAGGTCATGCGGGGGCGGGGGGAGGGAGTGGCACTATATGTGAAAGAAAATGTAGAATCAAATGAAGTAAAAATCTTAAATGAAGCCACATGTTCCATAGAATCTCTATGGATAGTAATTTCATGCTCTAATAAGAATATAACATTAGGCATCTATTATCAACCACCTGACCAGGACGGTGATAGTGACGATGAAATGCTAAGGGAGATTAGAGAGGCTATCAAAATAAAGAACTCAATAATAGTGGGGTATTTCAATGATCCCCATATTGACTGGGAACATGTCACCTCAGGACGAAATGCAGAGACAAAATTTCTCAATACTTTAAATGACTGCTTCTTGGAGCAACTGGTACGGGAACCCACAAGGGGAGAGGTAATTCTCTATTTAGTTCTGAGTGGAGCGAAGGATCTGGTCCAAGAGGTAACTATAACAGGACCGCTTGGAAATAGTGACCGTAATATAACAACATTTAACATCCCTGTGGTGGGAAGAACACCTCAGTAGCTCAACACTTTGGCATTTAATTTCAGAAAGGGGAACTATGCAAAAATGAAGGGGTTAGTTAAACAGAAATTAAAAGGTACAGTGACTAGAGTGAAATCCCTGCAAGCTGCATGGACACTTTTCAAAGACACTATAATAGAGGCCCAACTTAAATGTATATCCCAAATTAAAAAACACAGTAAAAGAACTAAAAAAGAGCCACCATGGCTTAACAACCATGTAAAAGAAGCAGTGAGAGATAAAAAGGCATCTTTTAAAAAGTGGAAGTCAAATCCTAGTGAGGTAAATAGAAAGGAGCATAAACACTGCCAAATTAAGTGTAAAAATGTGATAAGAAAAGCCAAAAAGGAGCTTGAAGAACAGCTAGCCAAAAACTCAAAAGGTAATAACAAAATGTTTTTTAAGTACATGGGAAGCAGGAATCCTGCTAAACAACAAGTGAGGCCTCTGGACAATCGAGATACAAAAGGAGCACTTAAAGACGATAAAGTAATTGTGGAGAAACTTAATGAATTCTTTGCTTCAGTCTTCACGGTTGAGGATGTTAGGGAGATTCCCAAACCTGAGCCGACATTTGTAGGTGACAAATCTGAGGAGCTGTCCCAGATTGAGGTGTCACTAGAGGATGTTTTGGAATTAATTGATAAACTTAACAGTAACAAGTCACCAGGACCAGATGGCATTCACCCAAGAGTTCTGAAAGAACTCAAATGTGAAATTGCGGAACTATTAACTATGGTTTGTAACCTGTCCTTTAAATCAGCTTCTGTACCCAATGATAGCTAATGTAACGCCAATATTTAAAAAGGGCTCTAGAGGTGATCCCAGCAATTACAGACCACTAAGTCTAATGTCAGTACTGGGCAAATTCATTGAAACAATTTGTGGGGAGGGATAGCTCAGTGGTTTGAGCATTGGCCTGCTAAACCCAGGGTTGTGAGCTCTATCCTTGAGGGGGCCACTTAGAGATCTAGGGCAAAAACAGTAGTTGGTCCTGCTAGTGAAGGCAGGGGGCTGGCCTTGATAACCTTTCAAGGTCCGTTCTAGGAGATAGGATATCTCCATTCATTTTTTTTTTTTTTAGTAAAGAATAAAATTGTCAGACACATAGAAGAGCATAAATTGTTGGACAAAAGTCAACATGGTTTCTGTAAAGGGAAATCATGTCTTACTAATCTATTAGAGTTCTTTGAAGGGGTCAACAAACATGTGGACAAGGGGGATCCAGTGGACATAGTGTACTTAGATTTCCAGAAAGCCTTTGACAAGGTCCCTCACCAAAGGATCTTACGTAAATTAAGTTGTCATGGGACAAAAGGGAAGATCCTTTCATGGATTGAGAATTGGTTAAAAGACAGGGAACAAAGGGTAGGAATAAATGGTAAATTTTCAGAATGGAGAGGGGTAAGTAGTGGTGTTCCCCGAGGGTCAGTCCTAGGACCGATCCTATTCAGCTTATTCATAAATGATCTGGAGAAAAGGGTAAAAAGTGAGGTGGCAAAATTTGCAGATGATACTAAACTGCTCAAGATAGTTAAGTCCGAAGCAGACTGTGAAGAACTTCAAAAAGAGCTCACAAAACTAAGTGATTGGGCAACAAAATGGCAAATGAAATTTAATGTGGATAAATATAAAGTAATGCACATTGGAAAAATTAACCCCAACTATACATACAATATGATGGGGGCTAATTTAGCTACAACTAATCAGGAAAGAGATCTTGGTGTCATCATGGATAGTTCTCTGAATACGTCCACGCAGTGTGCAGCGGCAGTCAAAAAAGTGAACAGGATGTTAGGAATCATTAAAAAGGGGATAGAGAATAAGACTGAGAATATCTTATTGCCCTTATATAAATCCATGGTACACCCACATCTTGAATATTGCGTACAGATGTGGTTTCCTCATCTCAAAAAAGATATACTGGCATTAGAAAAGGTTCAGAGAAGGGCAATGTAACAGGGTGCTGGCTAGGAGATCCAAGCCAGGCCCCTGTTAACCCAACTCCGCTTAAAAGGGGGATTAGTTAGGACTGGCTGGGGAGGCCACGCCCTAATCACCTCAGGGGGTGCACCTCCGGGCCTGAGTGGCCAGCTTGCTATATAAAGCTGGCTGGGAGGAAGCAAGGGAGAGACAGGAAAGGGAGAAGCAAGGTGCTCTAGATCCCTGCTGGCAGGAGAAGCTAGCAGTCTCCCAAGGTGTTGGTCTGTAAGATATGTAAATAGTAGGTGGTGGGGATAGGCACAAACAATAAAAGAGCACTGGTGCATGTACTTTGGAGTGATCTCCGACTGAGTTTGTGGAGGGGTTGGGAGAAGGCACCACTACATGTTGGGGCTTGTCCAGGATTCGGAGCCAGCGACCATGGTTGGCGACCCTGGACATGGAGGAGACCCTAAAATGGCTGGTAATGAAGCAGGCTCTGTGGAACGTCCAGCTGTCCCACCAGACGGAGAAGCAGACATTCCTGACCTGGCAGGCGGAACAGCAACGGAGCCTGAAGAACTTTGTCAGGGAGCAGACCAATGCACAAGCACAGCTCCTCCAGCGGCTGGTGAGTCCTGCGACGGGCGAAGGCACCCAACCCCCAGGCTGGGGGCTGTGTAAAATGAGCCTGGCGGATGACCCAGATGTGTTAGTGGGGACATTTGAGCGGGTAGCTATGGGCGGCAGGTGGGAGAAGACAACCTGGACTCTCCAGCTTGTGCTGTACTTGGTGGGAGAGGCTCAAGCGTCCTACATGGTGCTGAGTGAGAAGCCCGGGATTTATGAGACCGTACGGGCTGCCATTTTGGACTGTGTGGGCCTGTCAGCCGAGTGGTATTGGCAGAAATTCCGGGCCATGCGCTGGATGGTGGCCGTATGGCCGCGAGCATTTACCCAGAGGCTAGTAGACTGGGCAACCCGGTGGTTAAGGCCAGAGATGCATGCCACAGCGGAGATTATGGACAGTTTAGTCCTGGAACAATTGTTACAAAGCCTTCCCGTGGCCATACGGGTCTGGGTGAGGTGACACCAGCCAGGTACTCTGGAGGCAGCGGTCAGATTGACCAAAGAATACATCAAGGCTGAGGGACCCCAGAGGGAGGACCGGCCCTGGAAGGAAAGGTTGCGTGGGAGAAGACAATCTGAACCAGTTTCTGGGGTGGCCCAGGGGAGGAAGGGCGAGGCCCAAGGGGAACCCGAATGAGCAGCCAGGCTAAGCTGCTGTCAATGTGGAAAGCCAGGACATATAAAACGGAACTGCCCGGAGATGGAGTGCGGGTAGGCCGAGTTCTGTGGGTGGACCCAGGTAGAGGAGCAGGCAGGGAGAAAACCCCAAGCCAGCCTACTGGATACAGCATCCGGCTGTATGCTTGTGCAGCAAGGGTTGGTAAAACACCATTGGCTGGTCAGGGGGGCGAGAATGGCCCTTGGCTGCATAAATGGGGATAAAAAGTTTTGCCAGGTGACCCAGGTACCCCTGGGAGTGAGGGGCCGCTTCAGGTGGAAGCGGGTGTGGGTCTTGGAGGAGCTACTGTATCCGGTGGTGGTGGGCAGGGACTGTAGCCCACCACCGTGAAGGGAGGGTGGGGGAACCCAGGTTATGGAGGGCGTACCACCCGCACCAGAAGGCTGCGAGATGTGAGGATGGCAAGGGTCCATCAAGACCAACAAAACTCCTAGACAACAGAGCACATTGCAGGCAGACCCCCAGGAGGTCTACCTGGGGGAGCTGGCAGGCTTGGGCCCCGCAGAGGAAGGACCAGCCCCCACAGAGAGCCCTGTGGATGCAGTGCCCACAGATGAGACCCCAAACCGACAGGAGGGTGCGGGTGAAACTGAGGCAGGGAAGCTCTCGCCAGAAAAGGGGATAGGTTCCAACCCCGTACCTGAAGTATGGGACAAGCGGAGGTTGGGGGCCCTGCCGTCGTGCACATGGTGTGATGACCTGCGCGCAGAGGCAGAGTTATGGGGACAGCCACTACCACCGCAGTGGTGAGGGTCGAAATGACAGTCTGGACCTATACATAGAATGCTTCCGCCGACGTGCACAGGCAGAAATTGTGGAAAAACAACATCGCTTGCCTCATAACCTACGTCGTGCAGAACGCAATGCCATCCACAGCCTCAGAAACCACCCTGACATTATCATCATCAAAGAGGCTGATAA